TGCACATTTATAAAACTAGTCTCAAAATAGGACTAATTGGCTTCCACGTTTAATAATTAAAAAATTAGGACAACACGGATGTTTTTACACAGTTTTATATCAAACTAATCTCAGCATGCTTGTCTGATATCGTTTATCACGTACCCCACACAGTAAAGGCATGTTCGAATGAAAAGAATGAAATCTTTATTTCTGCACATGGTATCTTAAATAAAATAGAATCATAAAAATTTTTTAAGGCTTTACGGATTAATTAGGAAGAATCTCGTTTTTTACATTTCAAACTTAGATTTTTTAGGGATAAGCAGCAATTGATAAAAAGCTATGTAATCCATAGGACAAATAATTCACGAATATGTTGAAAATATACCTGTTGTTTGTGCAGCTCCTGAGAATTCCAAAAGCCAAAATATGCAGCCTGTTGTCTGATTTGCTCAAAGCACTAAGATTTACGGTAGTATGGCATTGAGAAATTAGTAATACGCAATGGAATTTATATAAGTCAGAAAACAGTCGGACATAATAAGAAAGAATAATTGAATGTGTCAAAAAAAGAATCCCCAAAACAGGAACAGGGCCTGTCTTTTTGACAAAAAAATGATGCATAAGAAACAGTATGAAAAATTAATTTCCAGGCTTTTATTGCAAATAGCTATCCGTTTATTTCAGGAACTGAATAATAACCAGAAATCTTCTCATGCGTTTACTAAATACTGCATGACACTTTTCAGTTAAGGTTCCACACAACATTGTTTTTCTTGTTTGTAAACAAGGAACTGCAAATGACTAAAATAGGTTAGTTATAGCGTTTTTCATGCATCACAAATTATGTTCATCGTGATTACTATACCTCAAAATTTAATAGTCAACAAATAGCTTCTTTGTTTACTGAAGTGAATTACCTCTTTAGACAGAATTAATTCGCAGCATGATTAAAAAAAATTTATAGTCCGGCATATACAAAAACTTGCACTGAACTATATTTTGGTCGAATTATTTTATTAAATGTAGAGTATTTATTCTGAAACGGTTTAATGTCAATCCAACTTAAGAGTTTTATCTGGCTTCAGTATTTCCATTGTAGCTGGTCATAAAACTTAATTTGAACCCGTTTACTTACTTTAGTATAAATACAATGCAATGTGATGCAGTGCAATTCAATGCAATGTGAAGCGGCTCTGGCTTCTTTAACCTTGCATTGACATAGCTGACTGTTCTCTGTAGATTTCAAATTTCAATAAAATATCTGGATTATTAATTACCATTATCATCTCGTCATGTATGTATATCTCGATAAAAACTTCGCACGTTCGGCATATGAACTGCACAATTATTAGCACATTAATATTTACATCTTTTGTTTCAAGTACAGATTTAGAATGATCCAATAAATATGCCGTGTAAATTATAATTTTTTTCAATTTTCAAGGCAATGTCTTTTTAATAAATTACAAGTCATTGGCATTAAATTGGAAGGTAAAGCCGTTTGACGCATTAATTTTTAGGACGTTATGCTAACAGAAATGCATTTGGCATATATTTGGCCTACTGTCTTTGAATGCTCGAATTATGAAAAATTTTATCTTCATTTTATGTGGCGGTATTGCCGATTTCGATTGTTATCAGTAAGTTTTGGACGACTAGGAAGAAGTAGTGTTTATGGTATGACGAGATGTTAAATATGTGCAGATCACACCGTATCATATTCTAAGATTCGGGCCCATGATGCGTACAAGGCTGAGAGGCAGTTTAAATAACTTCATTGAATACAGAGATGGCCAAAATCTGCTCAGTCCGTTAACTGGAAACAGGGTCTTTTTATAGTCTTATCCTGGTCGTCGTGTTCTCCTCACTGGTTCGTTCCTCGGCTCTGTAATGGGGACGGAAAACTCATGAGTGGATTAGGTCTCAGTCCTTCGCGCTTTAATGCTATGCAGCCGGATGTCCCGGTTTCGGTCACATGACCTCGCCATATGCCGCGCTGATCACTTTCGACCAATGCATGAGCACCAAGATGGCGGCTATCTGCTATTCCACTACAATGTACACAAATCTTCTAATATTTCAGACACAATGGGCTGCCCATTTTTATTTACTTAGTAGAGGCTACAACATCTTTTAAAATCATCGATGAAATATTTTTTGCTCCTCTTTAGAACACAATGTTTAATTGGATGGGGTTTAATTTTTGGGCGAATTAACAAAATCCCTTACGTGTCGTGACTTTGTACTCAAGATTGCTGGCTAGGCAATTCAAAAGCTGTCAGCAATCTGTTTTAAATAACTAATTTTTTACAAAACTGCTTTTTTAATATTGGGCTTTGTGGTCCTTCGAACCTACCCTATCATCATAGTTCTACATATTAAAAACGTAGTAAATGTAATATTTTGTGTAATAACAATCGTGAATATTTTACGATGTCAAAATAATTTTTAGAAAAATAGAAATTAGGAAATTTAAAAGATAATTGCTGTTGTAGTACGACTACCAATATAATTTGCGGAAATTTGTTTTATTTGATCATTTTTAAGGCTAAAATTGTGACACATCGATAAGTCCGAGTTTAAGTAGGCTATACAGGAACTATCAGGCACTGCCTTCCTACAAATCAACATGTTCAGTGGTCCGTCGTCAACTACACTCTTAAGCCAACTGCCTACTAGGTCACGTGCACCAGGAAGTGTGGAACCGTAATTATGTCTTTCGAATTCCTCTTGTAATGACGAACATTCAAGACGGAACTAAAAGCCAGTTTTCTTCCCGTGGAGATGCATTGTAGCAACGGCCATGGTAACTCACGTATAGCTGGGCTGATCTTCATTGTGTGCATTTTAGTGACTTAATTTGAAGATCAGAAACCAATCAGGGAAGGGAATGGACGAGAAACACTTTATGTTATGGAAGTCTGAAGTGGAGTGGTGTCTGACGTGTCTTGTGGCAGGTCAGTAAGGCCTGATGTACCTGTTCTTTTATGTCAGACAAAATGCAAGCTCACACATGTCCACAGTAGCGAATATGGCGTGGTAAGACGATTGGTTCGTGTGACATGCATGTTTTTATACTTGCTAAACATGCGTCGACAAAGGCAATAGTCAAATCATTTCACAGTATATTGCACGATATCACGTTTAGTAAAATCACTGGATAGCATGCATACGTTGTTGAACTTCCCAAATCGTCATTCTTATCTGCAAATGGCTTTTAAGTTTACAGACAAGCTGCCGATGACAGTAAGTCATAAACCTTAAGAAACTGAACCTATCGATATACAAGCTCCGATAATCGAGAGTGGTTGTCATTAGTTTTCGTGAAGTGTCTGAGGGAACTCGCTTGATATGATCAAATATCTAAGGTCATTTGACATGCTGCATCATTGCCTGGATAACGTAGGAACTGGAAAATCGATCAAACCAAGAAAATGACCCCAATAACAGCCAATGAAATGGTGAGATGCGCCTTATTGGAATAACTTAATGTACGTACACCTCTCAAAGTTAATCCAAGGTAAAGACAATTTCCAAGGTGCTGTGCATTTTTACAAAAAAATATCATTTTTAGAGAGACTTGGCCGCATACGTAACTAACTCCAAGCAAATGTCCCAAATTGGACTTGAAGTGAGTGTTGGATATAGTTCGAAATGAACCCTGTTACATTTTGTCTGTACCCAAAACCACTGACTGGGATAACCGGTACCCCAAATCCCTTGTTTGAACCCAGATCTCATCGCCCATAGCCCGGAACAGGACAAGACGTCGTGCAGAGAGCTTTTAATGTCTTTGCTGAAGGCCGAGTTGTGTGAGAATGTGCCCACTTACATAAGTCAAGGATGATATTGACCTGATGGATCATATCGGATTAACACAAATTGGCTGTCAGCTGATTCACCAGCTTAGGTGGCGTAGTTGACGCGACGGTGCGAACAGTGACGAAACCTTAACCCGGGGTGAGCTGTCTTGGGGAATGCTGGGTCTCCAATTGATGCATTAATCAGTTTTGTCTCAACTCGTTCTACTGCCCATGGCATCATAGAAAGACGAGATGCAACTCACAATAAAGATTTATCTCCTTCAAACAGGAGACAGCGGGTACTACTTGACGTTAAAGAGATTTCGTCAGACAGAGAACTTCCTGACAACTGCATCCTTTGATACCAGAAACGTGGTTGGCGTGAGCACTTAAAAGCATCCAAAACCACGCTTTGTGCAAACCGTTACGAAACACGCCAACCAATTAACTGTCACCACCAGTCTAGATAGATCGACATTTAGTGTGTTTGCTGCGACAGTTTAGAAAAATTTGAGTGGTTCATTGTGAAATGGCAGGTCAAAGCGTTAATCAGTTATTTATGGCATTAATAGTTTCATTAGAGTGGCACAGCTAGTGTCGTTAATTCCTTGGCCAACATTTTGTGGTTTGTTCTGGAGAGCGATACAAGGGCGCAGACAAATTGGACCACACCGAGCTCAGCCAATCGCGAGTCTAGGAGTTTAAAGGGCCTACGAGTAAGACCAGTGGCCAATCAAAGACAAGGATGAATGATAAGCACTATATAAAGGATGGCATCTGACCGATGGTTCTGGTCAATAAATCATGCTCCATTGCACCCGTCTTCTTCGTGCTAGGGTTCTTACATAGTTACCTTGCTGCTGAGTGACAAATAACACGAATTCTCACTGACTGAATGATGCCATTTCGCGTGGCGCCTCGACCAATAACAATTGTTTCGTGTTGATGGCTCGGGTCTCGACTTGAGAAATCGTGTTAATAACAGGAATTCTTAAATTATTTTTAACAGAAACAGATTTATTACATGCCCGCGCTACCGGACGCTCCAAAATCTGTAAAATTGCAAAAAGAACATATCGAAACGCAAGTATAGCCAACTGTTTTATTCACAGTTAATTGGTTTGCCGGACCTTAAATGCAAACTCCGGCGACATTAAATTAAAACAAGATTCCACCAGAAGAAGGTTCCAATTACCCATCCCTCCACCAAATTTATCCGACGCTAGTGGAGTCGCCAGAATCATCGGGCCGTCGCGGAGCAACGACGCGTCCCGCCAGCAGAAAGAGAACCCAGCTCAGACCCAGGTACCACAGCCGACCTGGTGAGAGGAGGAACGCCAACCACCCGTAAGGCAGCAGAACCTCCGTGACAGTGAAACTAACTTGAAGCAGGCTGAGC